TTGCTAAGGCTGGCCTCCAACTTTCAAACCTCCTGCCTCAGCTTCCCATGTCACTGGAATTACAAGTATGCACTATGGCACCCATCTAAGAGTTTTTTTTCCTATAGAAAAATCTCAGAAGTGTGAACGCTAGTGTGCCTTGAGAAGGGTGGAGAGTGAAGAGCCAATAGGCAGCATTTACCAAAAGTATCTGATCCCCCCTCCCCCCAAAAAACCACCTTTTTCCATTAAACATACCCTAGTATGAGTATTTTGGCAACAATCTAAGAAATATTGTGCTATTTTTACACTTTTGTTAAAAGTATTGAGATTCTGCCAAAACCTGAGTCTCAACTCAAAAATTACATGCTAAAAGGCCTCACCTAATAAACTCCATTCATTTAGCATCATCTACATAATAGGCTCTATATACAAAAGTGGGTAAGTTGTGGGCCCTTGTCCTAAAGGAATTCATTTATCAAATGGTCCTTGATTTCTCAAAGTTCTTGGATAAGCTGCATTAGGTTTAACTAAATTATTTTTTTTTAAAAATGCAGATTTCCAAACTTACTTCACCAAACTTTCTGGGGAAATCAAATATTTTTATCCATGTGATTCCAACAAGTTAAAATTTAAGACTCACTTAGCTTATTGGTAGACTAGTAATAAATATTAAAATACTTAAATTGTGTGAAGCCTGTTATGCATAAAATGCTTAGAAAACCAGACAGGAATGATGGAGTCTGCCTGAGGATGGAGCCAAGTAGAAAAGAATAGATAAGTATGATAGGAAGAAAAGTCTAGATTTTGGGAAACAGGTCAGCTGACTGGAGTAGAAAATTTGCATGAGACTCATCAGGGAAGAGACAGACTAGGACTGGCAGAAGTAGGGTTAGAAAGGGTCAAGGGAACCAGATATTAATACTTTTCAATGATTTAGAAAAAAATTTTACTTCAGATGCCTCTTCTACTCTAGGTCTTTCAATATCTACAGTCAGTCTAGATTGTATAAAATGTCAACTATTTGGTGTTAACATAATTCAGTTAAGAACCAGATAATACAAAAAAAAGTTGCCTATTAAAAAAAATTTTAAAAAAGAAAAATTTGCCTATTAACAGGCAAAATAAATGGTTCAACGTCCACATACTAAAACTTTTTAAGAACAAAGAGAACCTCCTATGATTCATATGTTAACCCATGTATTCTTATTTCAAATAAGACTCTCATTTATCTGATTCCTAACTAGAGTTGACAGTGAGAAGGGGAAAATTATAGGGCATATAATTAATGGATCAAGAATTACAACTCTTGGGGCTGGGAATGTGGCTCAAGCGGTAGCACGCTTGCCTGGCATGCATGTGGCCCGGGTTCGATCCTCAGCACCACATACAAACAAAGATGTTGTGTCCGCAGAAAACTAAAAAATAAATATTAAAAAAAAAAAAAGAATTACAATTTTGTGGCTGTGGTACTTTGGGTCCATGTAAGATAAAATTGCCTATAGCTCTTTTTTTTCTTTTTTCTTTTTTTGTACAGAAATTAAAACAGGGGTGCTTAGCCACTGGGCCACATCCCCAATCCTTTTATTTATTTATTTATTTATGTTTGAGACAAGGTCTTGCTAACTTGTCAATTTAAGGCCTTACTAAATTCCTGAAATTTTGCCATCCTCCTGCCTCAGTCTTCTGATCCTTAGTGGCTGGGATTACAGGCATGTGCCACCACAACCAGATGCCTAGTTCTTAATACTCAAGAAATTGAAGGATGTGAGGTACCAAGTCATAATTGATATTTGCAATAACTATCATAAATCATCAAGAAATGTTAGCCAAGCATGGTAGCACATGCTTATAATCCCAGAAACTCGGGAGGCTGATGCAAGAGGATCCCAAGTTCAAGGCCAGCCTTTGCAATCTGGTGAGAACCTATCTCAAAAATAAAATAAAAAGAGCTGAGGATGTTCCTTGGAGGTACAGTACCCCTGGGTTCAATCCCTAGTACCACACACACACACACACACACACACACACAACTTAATAATACTTAGTTTACTTTAAGGACAGAGTGGTACACACAATAGAATCTAAGACAATCGCCATTAAAAAAATAAGTTTTAATGCTTAAGAAGATAAAGCTAAACTATTCAGGGCTCAATTTTTTAGATATAAATGTTTCACACATGAAAGTGTTTTCATATATACTATACTATCTCATGTAATCACTTTAATTATCATCTCCTATATTCTCCAGACTTCAATCTTTTACTCTACGCTCTATTCCTTTTTTTCAACCTACATACTATAACTTCTTAAGTCCTAAATGCAGATAATTGTCAAATCTGTATTTATGCACATCTCCCTCCTGATGAGTTTTTCAAAACTGGAGTTTTCACATCACCTATCCCTTTCCTCATAATCCTTACCATGCTTTCAAGCTCCAAAACTAGAATCATGTCCATGTCAGAATCAAGTCAAGTATTTAAAAAAAAAAAAAAAAACACCTCAAAGTTAAACATTAACCAAATCAGGATGCAAGGACACTTCAAGTTTCCTAGTGAATAAAGGCATAAATGGGAGGTCAGCAGCCATGCTCATTCATCTTCCTTACCAGACTACCACTCGTATTAATTCTTTACAACCTCTTACTCAAACAATGAACTGCACAGTTAAATTGCTGCTCTTTACAATTGCTGCCATCCACTGTGAAGATCATAAATCAGTCACTAAGTCTCTTCCTAAGCCATGACTAAATTTTGTTGCCCCACCACTTATGCTAGAATCACATCCATTAACATTTAACATTCCATCACTGCCCAAGATAAAAGCTCCTCTCATATTTCATTTTTACTTTCATAACTAGTGCTTTCTTCCTCCCCCATAACAAATCCCTCACTACCGCTCTTCCGTACTTTTGTAATGTACTATCTAGACTCCCAAAGGCCCCTTACAGTCATCTCAAGAGGGAACTGCTCAACCTTCCATACTCAGGATCAGAATGTTGACCTGGTTTCCACTGTAGACTTGGTTCCTCACTACTGCTTCCCAGCTGTTCCTCCTTTACTTCCTCATAACACCTTTATTCCACTGAGGCTCAAAGTAGTCAGTTGCGCCATCTTTTACCCGTCCATATGATAATCATCATCTTCTATTCACCTCCAGAATATAAACTAAAAATTATGGTTTTTAGAAGGCTTCCTTTCCACCATTCTGTGTATGTTCAACATTTAAAGGAAGGGATTCATCTCTCTCACTCTGTGTGGTTGATGACACACTGGACTTTGTTAGTGGGCAAAACTGTTCCAGCCTGAAATATTTGATTCCAACATCCCACTGTCACTACAACATCCTAACTTT